ATAGAGGTAAAACACGCATCTTGATAATATTCTTCTGTTATAGAAGAATATAGAGGTAAAACACACATCTTGATAATATTCTTCTGTTATAGAAGAATATAGAGGTAAAACGCACATCTGGATAACATTCTTTTGTTATAAAAGAATATAGAGGTAAAACACACATCTTGATAATATTCTTCTGTTATAGAAGAATATAAAGGTAAACGCACATCTTGATAATATTCTTCTGTTATAGAAAAATATAGAGGTAAAACGCACATCTGGATAATATTCTTCTGTTATAGAATAATATATAAGTAAAATGCACATCTTGGTACTATTCTTCTGTTATAGAATAATATAGAGGTAAAACGCACATCTTGATAATATTCTTCTGTTATAGAAGAATATAAAGGTAAAACGCACATCTTGGTACTATTCTTCTGCTATAGAAGAATATAGAGGTATATGTTTTTACAAAATATACACAAAACTAATCTTTTTTTTTATATTCTAGGACCTACTTTATTTTGGCTTCAAGAGTTATTCGTCCAGGTCAGCCATACAGAGTATATGTAACCGTTTACCGGCCCTCAATTCCAATCACCGTTAAGGCGTCTATTCAGAGAGACGGCGTTGACTTGGCCTCAACGACGAAACAATACAGGTCCAATGTCCCTGAAACCTTACTATTGAAGGTAGGCAACTCGAACATTTCAAACTGTAGATGCTAGAAAAATCAACCTTCTCTAGATTGGATACTTGACATATTTTAACAAAACAAATTACTATTACTACACAAAAACACTTTTTGGAATTGGAAAAAAGCAACGTGTTTTAAAAGCGCACGGACTTCTTTCTCTGTTAAGAAAAATGTATATATTCAGTTTTAACATGGTTTTTATAAATGTTACTCACGAGATTATCCTGCTTGTTACGTAAAGGACCTTCGAAAAAAAAAGTAGCAAAATTATGAATATGACCTGCTTTTGGTATCATGATCTTCACCTGTACCTAATATATTTGAATAATAAATCCGAGTGAGAGGCGCTAAAAATCAGTCACGACGAAGGCATTAGAATATTAGAAACTAAAGTATTAAAATATTTGATTGACAAATAACCATCCAGATGGGCAACGGAGGATGTTCCACTTTCCTGCTTAGGTAAGAGCAAAAGAGTGAGAAATATAATATTCATTTGAGGCATTATGGGATATGTTTTGAAATTATCCCTTATAGTTTAAATTGTTTTGTAGGATTAGTGTCCATTAATAGAGAGGTGTCAAGTACTAGAAAATAGGGCTATTGAATATGTTCTTAATTGTAGGCTTGCGCTCGTGGCTTTAACCAATGTTTACGTGTTCTACAGGTGCCACCAAATAGTGTACCAGGGGTGTACAAACTACGAGTGGAAGGAAACATGAATGGGGTGCTGGGAGGAACGGCGTTTGTCAACGAAACTTTGTTGGAGTTCTCTCAGCGATCTATGACCATTTTTGTCCAAACGGACAGCCCTATCTACCGGCAGGGACAGATAGGTAGGCTTAATGTGTAGGCTCTGATGGCAAGTCATTGTAAGACTACAACTGAGTAGGTCTAATGATAGATTAGCTCAAATCACGCACTTATCGACTGTCTGTTCGAGATGATTCATTGTAAGTACGAAAGAGAGATATTGGTAGTATCAGTATTAAGACGACAAACCTACTACCGACGCTCTTTGAGATACAACTTAAAACGTAAGTAGGAACGTTTTTATTTTTTGTCAATAAAGCGACGACTGCCCCTCCCTATGTAAACTATGTTATATGTAACGGATCTTTAGCTCAAGTTGTATTGTAAAAGTATGATCCACTTCCTAAAAGATAGAAGATCCAGTTGACAATGACCTAAAAATAAAGGCTCGTGTGAAAGATATTTCTCTTCTCTTAGATAATTAACGATTGTGTGGCTTAAGTTCTATAATTTAATATTTTAATTAAAGAAATGAACGTAGTCACTTGATAAAGTTTATAAAAAATAGCAGACGTGCATTAGAATAAAAAAAACAACAACAGTAACATAAATATAAACAGCACACGAATTTCACATCTAAGAATCACCATTATCTTCGACATCTAATATCAACAATTCCAAGCTATGTCAGCTCTTAGTTGACAACGTACATAAACCAGAATAACAAAACAAATATAACCAGTAAGTACACGAATAATACATAACTTCTAAAATCTTACCATCATATACCAATGCCTACTGTGTATATACCAACAATTACCAGCAAAATGAGAACTTATAACTGAGATGCAAAAACATCATCAAAAACGAAAACAGTACGCGTAACGCTCAATTTATACCAACAAAACACACACAGGCTGGGCCTGTCCTAGTCGTTAGTGTGCCAAGACTGTGAATCCAAAGATTCGTGTTTGGCTACCTGTTGCCGAAAAAAAAACAACGCGCTCCATATTTTGGAACTGTGCTTGCACTAAAAGAACGACAGCCAAATGCCACTATTCAGTCAGAAGAGTAGCCCGAGAGTTGGCAGTGGGTCTCTTGACTAGCTGCTTTCCTTTAAGTCTATTGGTTCAAAATTAGGGACGAATATACGCAGATATCCCTTGTGTAGCTTTGCGCAAAAATTCCAAAAATCAAACTGACCAACTTCTGAAATACTTAGAAGCTTTAATAAACCAATTCTATACCAAATATTTAACGTGCACATTCCGAGTTGTACCAATCTCACATACTAGTCTCCTAACATTAAATTACAAATATATACGAACACTTGTCAAGCGTATACCAACAAGTATCACACACGTACTGTCCTTACAGTTTGATCCAAAAGTTTCCTACACTGCTACTCCTTGTAAATCTTGTTCGTTATGGTATTATATTACTACTGAAATTATCAATTTTTATGTATTTTGAGCAATTCAAACCCGCTTGCCTGATAAAATCGGAACCATTTAGAAAGCTTTTTGTAACACGTGAATACCACGATCGGGTAGTAGCGTAATAGTGATTTTTTTTAACCTTTAAACATTTTAGGCAACAGAACAAATTAACAATAAGACACCAAAACTTTGTATTTTTCTGTTCAACATTATCTGTGTTATACTGCGTACTTCCAAAACTAGAAGTTTTATGAAAATCTATATTTACCTATTGCGAATGAGTTAACGGCACTCACTATCGCTTTTCGAGCTTAGGGTAATTCGTGGACGGGTGGGAGTAGGAGTGAAGTCTTTTATTCAATAAAAACCAAGTGATCATATATAGTGTTCGAAAAGTCTGGAATAATAGGCACTTCAACGACTTTTACACAATGTGTTCCACATGCTGTCCTTGCAATTCGAAATCAGTTTGGATTAACAGTGGGATTAATTCGACCTTATCATGCTTTGATAGCGTCATTATCTGAAATAATTAAAACCTGAAAATCACCTACGGTTCTAGACTTTTCGAACACCAGTTGTTTTTTTTAAGTTATTCTAAATCTATTATTTGTTACTGTATTTTCAAAATGGTATTCGTGCAAATCTAAGCGACCTGTCAATATTATTTTAATGCAGAAAAATCGATTGAAAATATCAGACTTTGCCGATGATTGATCGAACTGTAAGATCTATAATATTGTGAGCTCCAGTATATATGTAAGCAGAAAAGAAAAAAAAATGACAATGGTATTTTCTCAAGAACTCCCGCTCCTATCTTGAAATCTGGAGAATATATATAAACTATTCTCCTTCTGAGGGATTTCTCATCTTTACAGTCATGTTATGAAAATAAACGTTTAGCATCAAAGTTATAAGCTTTCACTGTTTGGGATAGTAATCCTAAAAATATCTGACTTGGTATAAGTGCACCTGCCACCTGTGTTGTACATAAAAAAAACAGTTATAATTTCTTAACACACTGAAATGAATTGAGAGACAAACCTAAATATGCACAGCATCACAATAAGTATATCGACACCCCCCGAGAAGACATATCGATTATCCCCATGACGTAATTTTATCATATAACCGCGACATATAGATACAGGTATAGCTCTATAACGATCATACAATGTAACAGCCATATCACGAAACAAAGTATCTCTCAAATGAACCGTATTTTAACACAGTCGTATCAAAATAATGGGAAAGTGTCGAAGTTAGCAATAAAGTTCGAAATACCACTGTCCACAATGAATAGGGCGACAATGCTGTTCCAGTCACGTCGGAAAACAACATTTTCTGCATGGCCTGGACGTCCAGAACCAACAGAATGGACTCTTCATGCTATGACGAAAAATTCAGAGAATACTCACGTCAAACAGTCGATTCTTTTACGGGACAGATGGAAAAGTGTCTCAATATTCGTCAAAGTAGCTAGACGAAAACCTCTTCTGACTTCAGGCAATATCATACGTGGACACCACATTTGTTATCACACTATCCTGTCTTTTCATACACTGATATTTTTTTCAAAGGAGACTTGGGTTTGCCAAATACCCTCTCGGGAAACTGTTTGCAATCTACAACAAAATAGAACAGTGTTTTTGTTCTGGTGTGGAGGCCGTCTGGACAATTGGACGATCAGTGATGGTGGTGTGATATGGTCACTGGTGCTCGACACATTACACTTCTAAAAGTCCTTCTAATTGTCTACACTCTACACCAATGATCAGTTTACCAGACAAGGCAATGTTTTTGTGCTCATTCAGCCCGAGTCACAAAACGATGACTTAATTATCAAAGGTTGGGTTGTTATTACTCTTCCTTGGTCAGGCCAGTCACCGGATATGGGCCCTACAAACATGTGTGATCCATTCTTGATCGTTACCTGCCAAACTATGTAGAACAACTAACTTTTAAGGATGACCTCATCTAAGTTCTTCTCCAGAAGTAGGGTGCAGTCTCGCACGCAGGCGTAATTTTAGATCTTATAAATACCATGTGTAACCGTGTTTCTGTCTTAAATAATTCGAAGGGCAGATCCACTAAATAGAATAGCAACTTTGTGCCCTTTCTTTCGTGGTTTATTTAATAATACGGCATTCGTTTTTTGAATTTCTATGAGTATTCTAGCTTAGAGCAAGGTAAATATAGTATAAAATGATGTGCCATTTTGGCTCTAGGTGTTATTCTATATAGAATGACTCAATCATTGACGTCATCTGCTGTTTCATGTGTTAATTGTTTTATGTCCAACATCACTTGAAAGTGACGTTATTTTACAAATGTTGCATGAAGTAGAGAAACACCTGGATTTCTGTAATCCGGTATTTTATTGGTTAGCTTTGGAGAGAATATGAATTGTAAAATTAATTCTGTCACTTCTGTTTCGAAGAGGCTGAAAACTGCCTGTAAAGTACTGTTTCACGGCTGCCTGTAAAGTACTGTTTCACGGCTGCCTGTAAAGGACTGTTTCACGGCTGTCTGTAAAGTACTGTTTTACGGCTGTCTGTAAAGTACTGTTTTACGGCTGTCTGTAAAGTACTGTTTTACGGCTG